ATTTAGCAAAATTACCTGATATGATTGTATGGGGTAATCCTAATCTTTTCATTACTAGTACAGTTGTGCATATATATATATACTATGTTGTTGTCGGGCTTGGGATTCTTCTGCAGTAGGTGTCTGACTTATTGGCGATAAATTCGACGATGAATAAACAGCACGCACTTCATTTCTTTTCAAAGTAATATATATTCGGATTAATCCAGTTTATTCTTCCTCGATACAAACTTTAATACTCAGTAATTTCATAGTCAGTACATACCTCGTCACTCTAACTTAACTTTATAACACACGCTATAAATCACAGTGATTCACACTACTTTACTTACCGTGCATGCTGTTCGATTGACTCAATTATCTATCTCTTCAATCCCGCTGGTTTTCTCGCTAGGCTTATATACTAAGAAAGAGGACATCTCAAACACACTAGAGTTGTCGGGCAAATTCATGATCCTTCGAGAAACTCCAGCGCGCATGCTCCCAGACTCACGTGACTTCCGCTGTCGTAACAATAATACATGGTTGTAGGAAGTTGTGTTTATAAGTCATTGATGTTGAGACTGTCGAACGTCACGTGCAATACATTGACGTCGAGAACATAGAGATTTCTAGAAGGCGGGCAGACGATTAAGTAATAAACATATAAGTAGTGTGAGACGAGCGGAAACAGCAGACAAACAACAGCAGAAGAGAGTAAAGCTACGTGTAAGGAAAAGTTCGGCGTGAAGTTAACTACCATAGAAGTGATAGGCCTAACGTTTAATATGTTAGAGTAAAACTAACAGTAGAAAGAAGATAAGAAGAAGAATAACTTATTTCGTCAAAGCGTGGTTTTAAAGTAATTGAATCAGCCTTTGACAAAAGGAACAGGGGATATTTAGAAGAAAGAAGACCAAACAATTACTGTAACTCGCGCCACAATTGTAAGTGAATCACAGAATACTAGTGGGATAGTAATAGCGAAGATAGTTCGGCTTGTCAACTGAAATTTTTTAAGTAATTGAATTTGCCAAAGTGGACTTTTGACAAGAAGAAGAGAACTATATATGTAGTGTTTATGATATGCCTATAATGTCTATAGTGAAAATAATTTGTTGTACATACGTTTAACTTGTTCCGAATATGCCCTGTTTTTAACTCTTATTATAACAATAACTAAATAATAACAAAATATTCACTCACAAAAATAAATTAATCAATAATATCGAAACTGAACAGTCTTTTATATCATGGCACCCAGTAACAGCCAAAAAATCCATTCTACCTCTAAATATTTTGCCTCATACAAATTGCACTGTGCCCCAAAACTGAAAATAAGACACGCTGCTGTGTTTAATTGCTACAAAACTAAACAGTACTTCCAGTTATAGTTTGTTTATTTTTGAGGAATGAGACTGAAGGTCGAGGTAACATTAACTGAAAACTCTTCCAATAGTTGAGCATTCAATAAAAGGTGGTCTTCTTTTGACAGGAAAATATTAAAGGACGTATATATTAAAATCTAAAATAAAAATTAATACACATACAGACTAACTTAGTCTAAAAAAAATTAGGTTTTCTTCGCCTGATTTTCAACGAAAACAATAATAACAATTTTGTTGAAGCAAAAGTAGCAATACTACATATAATCTTAGCTTAACTCGTGGTCACTTTGATTTAATGTACATATATATAATCCCAGCTTAACTCGTTGTCACTTTGAATATCCAGATTTA